AAAAAAAAAAAAAAAAAAGACACAATTCCCTTCACAGTAGCTTCAAAGAAAATGAAATACCTCTTCACCTAACAAAAGAGGTGAAGGACCTCTATAAAGAGAATTATGAAACTAAGAAAAGAAATAGCAGAAAAACATTAATAAATGGAAGAAGATATCATGCTCTTGTCTGGGAAGAATCAACATTGTTGAAATGTCTAGTCTACTCAAAGCAATCTACAGAGTCAATGCAATCCCCATTAAAATACCAACATCATACTTTGAAGAACTAGAAAAAATAGTACTTCCTTTTGTATGGAACCAGAAAAAAACCCTAGCCAAGGCAAGTCTCAGTAATAAAAACAAAGCTGGAGGCATCACTCTATCAGACTTCAAGTTATTATTGCAAGTCAACAGTGATCAAAATAGATTCACAGACATATGAAACAGAATAGAAAGCCAAGAGATGAAACCAGTCTCTTATTTCCATCTGATCTTTGATAAACCAAAGAAAATCATACAGTGGGAAAAGAAGCCCACCAAAAAAATGGTACTGAGAGAACTGGATAACCACATATAAAAGAATGAAGTTGGACCCACACTTTTTACCACTCACAAAATTGAGTCAAGATGGATCAAAGGTTTAAATATAAGACATGAAATGATAAAAATCCTAGAAGAAAGTGTGGGAAAAACTCATGAGGATGTCAGATTGGGGAAAGATTTTATGAGGAAGACTTCAGTGGCAATCATAACAACAACAAAAATAAAAGGGACTTAAGCTGAAAAGCTTCTGCACAGTTGAGGACACGAGTAAAGCAAAAAGACAACCTTCAGAATGGGAAAAGATATTTGCATGGTATAAATCTGACAAAGGACTGGTAACTATAATATACAGAGAACTCAAATTAATGAACCAAAAAAAAAAAATAGCAACAATCACATCAATCACTGGGCAAGAGACATGGACAGAACCTTCTTAGAGGAAGATAGATGAATGGCTAACATTTGAAAAAAGGGCAGCACCTGTGGCTCAGTGGGTAGGGTGCTGGCCCCATATACCAAGGGTGGCCAGTTCAAAC